ACTTTGAAATCAATATATGTAAAAATTATCTAACCTGGCTCTGAACATGCTTTTCTAAAGATCATAAAAAATTAAGAATGTTAGACCTAAAGAATTTTCTATCAAAGCAGTCATTTTCTCGCCCTAGTAACGATTTTATGAACACAGCCAACGTTAAAAAAATCAATGCACCCCACATATATCATGTTGTTTGTGCCAAACCCGTGACCTGTTGAGCTTCGTAGGAGTCAGACGTCGTCATTTCTATGTTGATCTCAAGACCATTGGAGAATTTGTTTTAAAAAAAATCAATATCCACACATTAAAAATCATCATTCATTTTCGATATGAAAACTTCAACATTGGTTTATTTGATAATTTCGAAATTCTTTCTTCAACAGTAGGCTGCCACGGATTTGAATATTTCAGCAGATTTTAGCGATGCTGTCATCGTCCTGACAATATTTTATTGGTTGGTTGTGAAGCTTGTCTTGGAAGCATGCGATATTCACATTCCTATATACAAACGAATACAAACGCCCGTGCGCATCCACCTACACAGCCAACATCGATTCCTGTTAGAGAACGCATACTTTCTACGAAATTTCTCGGACATTTACGCCGGTAAATGTAATTAATACTGGTGGATTTAAAAGAAGCATTTAAATTGTATCTATAAAAAATAGGGTATAAACATAAAATATATTATAGCACACACGCAGAGACAAACACAGACACACATGTGTGTGTGTGAGAGAATATCAGGATGTTCATAGGGGAAGGCATGAAAGGGATGCCCCTTGTCGTGTAAAGTAGAGTTAGAGACAAAATTAATTGCATAGAGTTTAACCTTATCTGACGACGAAGATATAATCTCTTAGCCATTTATAAGTGACAACACGGACAGCCCTTTTCTATTGATCGATGTGTTTGCAATTTTCTTGTCTTCTACTTTTTCATGGACTGCTTGTGCAGAACTCCTATTTTGCATTTGCAAGGACCGTGACGCACTGATTTCACGCAATTCTAAATGAGGCAAAAATACTTCTACACCCATTAATCTGATATAATATTTGCGGTTATAGTAGGTCATGTCCACAATATATTCAGCCGTGAGATAATGCTATTTGCTTTCTTGTTAATTTTGTGAGAGAATCATTTTCTATGCTCAAGAGAATCTAATAAGAATTATTATTATTTTTTTATTTTCTTTGATTTCTGGCGTTTACACATTTCTTTCCGGGTCCCGCCCAGGGACCTAAGGTTAGAAATGGCGTCATGACACTTTCCACTGACAAAAAAAAAAAAAAAAAAAAAAATTACATAGATAAAGCCCTTCGTAAGGTGTGGGCTGTACATGTCAGAACAATTTTTTGTATCTCCTTGAGGCATGGACTTCCAGGAATCCCTTCAATTAGTCTACTGGAATCTTTTCCAACCAGTCCCAGGTCTTCAACTACAACAGGGATTGTTGATATTCCCATATGCCACATTTTCGAGATTTCTATTTCAAGGTCCTTGTACTTTGACAACTTTTTGAATATCTTCAAAGATACATTGCAGTCAGCAGGGACTGCCATATCAATAAGGAGGCACCTTTTTTGTTTGTGGTCTTTAATAACAATATCTGGCCGGTTGGCCTTGATTGTTCTGTCAGTGTGTATTGTGTAATCCCATAGAATTGTAACAGGTCCTATCTCCGTAACCGGGTCTGGGTGGTGTTCATACCAGTTTCTTTCAGTTTTCTTCCCGCAGAAGTTGCAGATTTTCCAGTGCAGATATTGGCCCAATCTGTCATGTCGGGTTTTATATTCAGTGGGCGCCAACACCGTACAACCTGATACAAGATGATCAATCGTTTCTGGATATTTATCACAGAATCTGCATTTTGGGCTGACACAATATTTTAGTATATGGGCTTGATAATTCCTAGTTAGCAAGCATTGGTCCTGCGCAGCAAGGATAAAACCTTCAGTTTCCGCTTTCAACCCTGCACTACGTAGCCACTGATGGGTACGGGTTTTGTCTACGTCAGCTTATTTTGTACGGGCAGAGTATTGGCCATGAAGCGGTTTATATTGCCATCGCTTCTGTAACTGGTCGGCTGCATTCGTCTTAGCTATCTTTTTTAGGTATTTTGTAGTTTCAGCCGGTGTATTGTGCTGTAGTTGCATCTCTACGCCCATTTGAAACTCCATTTTGAATTTGTTGGCTTCTTTCATTACGGAGTAGAGATGCTTACTACTTTCATGTTCCTTGACGCATACCATCATCCAGTCTTCTGTAGTTTCAAAATATCTTTGGAGGCCAATTGTTGTAGTTTTGTAGGACAGTTCTAGTTGAACTAATCCTCTGCCTCCTTTGGATCTGGGCACATACAGACGATCGACATCAGCTTTGGGATGATGCATGCGATAGCAGGTGAGTAGCTTTCTCGTTTTGGCATCCATTCGCTTAATTTCAGCTATGGTCCAGTTAAGGACATTAAAGCTGTATTGCACCACAGGGACAGCCAATGTGTTTATGGCTGATATCCTGTTTTTTTGAGTTCAGGTCAGTATTTAGTACCAGACGTACACGCCTGTAGTATTCTTTTTTCTTATTTTTCCTTCATTTGGGGGTGTTGTATGCCATCTCCTTCGCTAATTCATAGGTACTTATAAGCTTCACCATGCTCCAGTTCCCTAATCTTTGTGACAAAATCTAAATCTATTAAGGGTGTTTCTGTAATTCTACCTTTCTTGAAAGTTACTTTTGCACATTTATCTAATCCGAAGTCCATACCTATGTCGTCACTGAAGTATTTTACAATATTGAGGGGGCCTTTCAACTCATTGTCGTCTTTGGCAAAGAGTTTGAGATCATCCATGTAGAGTAGGTGATTGAATATTTTCTTATTTATTTTGTAACCATAGCTACTGTTGTTCAGTTCATGTGTAAGAGGGATTAAGGATAAACAAAACAGAGGAGGTGACAGAGAATCTCCTTGAAAGATTCCACGTCGGATACTCAGACGGTTGGATATGGCAGTGCCCCCTGTGTGACTAAGGTATAGTTTGGTGTTCCACATTCCCATGCTGTGCTTAAGGAAATTTAATACCACAGGGGAGATTTTGTACATTTCCAAAGTCTTAAGGATCCAAGAATGTGGAACACTATCAAAGGCTTTACGATAATCAATCCACGCTGCACTTAGATTCCTGCGTCGTCTCCTGCAATTTTCCAGGATCATTTTATTTATCAGAAGTTGATCTTTGCAGCCATATGAACCTCTTCTGCATCCCTTCTGTTCCAGCGGGAGAGTGCTGTTTGTTTCGAGAAAGGAATAAGTACGGTTAGTCAATACAGACGTGATCAAGTTATACGTTGTGGAGAGACATGTTATCGGTCTATAATTTTTCGGGTCGTCTGTTTCAGTTGTTTTTGGTACGAGGTATGTCATACCTTCAGTAATCCATTCCGGGGTTTTATAGGGATTATTTACAAGCGTTGATAATGTTTTTGCAAGAATTTCATGGGTAGATGTGAGATGATACAGCCAGAAATTGGGCAATTTGTCACTCCCTGGGGATTTCCATTTTTGGGATTTCGTTATAGCGGGGATTTCCATTTTTGGGATTTCGTTATGATTATTATTATTATTATTATTATTATTATTATTTCTTTTGATTTCTGGCGTTTACTCATTTCTTTCCGAGTTCCCCAGAGACCTAAGGTTAGAAATGGCATCATGACACTTTCCACTGACATTATATATATATATATATATATATATATATATATATATATATATATATATATATATATTACATAGATAAAGCCCTTCATAAAGTGTGAATTATACTTGTCAGAACAATTTTTGTATCTCTTTGAGGCATGGGCTTCCAGGAATCCCTTCAATTAGTCTACTGGAATATTTTCAAACCAATCCTAGGGGTCCAATTACAACAGGGATTGTTGATGTTCCCATGTGTCACATTTTTGAGATTTCTATTTCAAAGTCCTTGTATTTTGACAGCTTTTTGAATATCTTCAAAGATACATTGCAGGGACTGCCATATCAATAAGGAGGCACTTTTTTTTGTCTGTGGTTTGTGGGCTTTTGGCTTTGATTGTTCTGTCAGTGTGTATTGTGTAGTCCCATAGAATTGTAACAGGTCCTATGTCCGTAACCAGGCACGGGTGGTATTCATACCAGTTACTTTCAGTTTCCTTCTCGTAGAAGTTGCAGATTTTTCAGTGCAGATATTGGCCCACTCTGTCATGCCGGGATTTATAGTCAGTGGGTGCCAATATCGTGCAACCTGATACAAGATGATCAATCATTTCTGGATATTTATCACAGAATCGGCATTTTGGGCTAACACAATATTTTAGTATATGTGCTTGATAATTCCTATTATTATTATTATTGCTGTTGTTTTCGTTGTTTTGATAAATTTACTAAAATGACTAAACCATAAACTATCAAAAATAGTTTAATACTTGACTCTTTAAGTGATGTCCTCACGTTTGTAAAATCACCATTTTATGCAGTGGCATTATACGTGTCTATAAGATATTTATTTGAGTGACATCGTGTATTGATAGTATTATGGGTGCATGGGATGTTTACTCAAAGAGGAAATAAAATGGAATTGAAAATAATATCGTACAATAATCAGTACATTTATTATTTTAGAAAATTAAACAAGAAGAATCTAAATATATGTAAGTGGAAGTCATTAAATAATTATTATATCATATGTAAATTGTTAAGCGTGTGTACAAAATGTTACTGAAGGTATTGAAAGAATAGTTACCTGCCTCGGCCTGTTGGATGTATTGTGGGGTGCAATAAAACACAGAGGTTAAACGTGGGATGTTTTTTCTCTATAGCATCGTTGCGGTAACGAGAAAAAGAAGAGGAAAAGCGAATTTGCTTTCATTTGTACTTCGTTTTGGCAACGTATTCTGGATGTCAGAAGTAGAAGTCCTTTGTCAAAGTGGGCTATTCCTATACTGTAGACAATGAAATGAATATGGGTTTCGTTCACGCCAACCCCGGGATCAAAATAAGTGACCGCAAAGAATACAATAAAATATAGACATTTTCTTTTTAAATAATATAGAACTATTCCAAGTACGTGCTGGGGACTTATGAATTTTCTCTGTTTAAAACTATATATCATCACAGTAATTTCCACCTATTTCAGGCACACGTCGTATTTTTCTCTCTCTCTCTCTCTCTCTCTCTCGACTCTCTTCTTCTCTCTCTCTCTCTCATGTCCCATCTCATCAAATTGGTAATCAATAGTTGTTAAAGTGTGATAGATCTTTGATGGTGGAAACAGTTGTAGCTAATCAATCACACTTGTTCAGTTGAGTACAAAAAAAAACAATTCCTCATGAAATCAGTAATTATGTATTTAATAAATCTAGATCAGAAATATATTACTTCTACATCATGACTTTCCATAATTGATGGCTACCTGGAGGGCCCGATTATAATCTTTTGATTATATCTCATATACTGTTTTTTTGTTTACTCCCAGTAGTGAGTCGGGACAAGAAAATTCCAGAAGTTCCGTGTATAAGATGCATCAGCGCTGATACAAAATTATCAGAATGCAACTGGATAAATACGGAAGACTATGCAATGACTATGCTATAAAACTGTTCAAAGCGACAAGAAAAAACCTACAGGGGGATGAAATACACGATACGGAATAATTGAGAAGAAAACAATTTCCGGAAAATATTTGATGCAAAGTGAAAACATCATCAGGGACGGGAATTCTTGGATATAGCTACGCGTAGGTTACCCTAATGGAGAAACGGAATCTTTCATCATCCCAACACAGAAGAAGTGCATCGAAACAAACTAGGAAACAGCGACGATTAAAAACACGTAGAAAAATGTAAAAGCCACATCTGGAAAAGAAAATATAATAGATTACGTAGCAAATGAATATATAAAAAAAAACAATACAAGACAGCCAGGAAAATGTAGCAAATGTCACACAAATTGCAAAGCTGCAAATAAATATGTAAATCCTAAATATCATTAAAAAAAACAGATTCTAAGTTTCCAATTCAAAAAAAAAAAATTCAATTGTTGGTCGTAAATAAAAATATTTGCTGGTTCTGGAAGTGACTAACTTTTCATGTTCCTACCTTCTTCACTGATTATTAACTCAACATGTAATCAGACATCAACCATGGACATGCTCACTTCAACTACTGATAGCATAAAAACTGCTAATATATATATATATATATATATATATATATATATATATATATATATATATATATATATGCAGGTATACACACACACACACACAAACACACACATATATATTTAGTTGGATGGATATGAGTTTGTGACTCTTGTTTTCACGCTATTTCTATATCTAACTAAATATGTTAGATCTATCACTGATATTGAGCGGTTTCTTATAAGTATTGTGCATATAACACACACACACACAGAAACAGACACACACATATATATATATATATATATATATATATATATATATGTATATTCAAAAATGTTTGGTAAATGGATGTTATGCCTATTTTTAGTAGCCGTAGAAAATTGATTAAGAGTAATACCAAAATTTTCTTTCAAATAATTTTTATTTTCACAGGTATTTTCTATATCATCTGAGACCCTCTCCAGGGTGTTAAATTGTCAGTAAATGTATATACGTATTTCTGTAAATTATAAACATGTCAAGTGTTTGTTTTACTGCGCTTAGCATCGTTTTGATTTAAATTCAAATTCACTCGTACTCAATGCAAGGGAGGTAACTCTACACAGAAAATCTCGCTTCTACAGACATTTACGAACTTTGTTACTATACTCATAATTGGATTTCTTTACTTCTGGCATTAGTGTTTTAACCAAACCTGTGTGAATGAAAATATATTGCCTAAACACACATACACGGAGACACACCCACACACAAACATACACACCCACACACACAAACACACACACACACACACACACACACACACACACACACACACATATATATATATATATATATATATATATATATATATGAATGAACGTATTAATGCTACGATATTCTTCATGTATACAAAAGCAAATTAGTGTCAATCTAGAACGTTGTTATCGCTAAAAATATCACTTTCACAACAGTTACGCCATAGTAGATTCAGTTACTGTGGGTATGAATGTAAGTCATCATAGTTGAAATGCAAATTATGGTAGGCATTTAGTAGAAGAAATAATTAGCTTTCACTTTTGGCAATTTACTGATGCGACATCATCGGTTACGTTATTATTTCCTTTCGCCGCTAGACCAATAATATAAATTAAAAAAAAAAAGAAAAAAAAATATCTTGGTGAAGACAGAAAGTAAAATGCTTTGGTTCTTTGAAATTTAAAATGAGAAGCCAATCCAGGCGGGAAACAAGATCCAGTGACTCCTGACCGACAAAACAAGTGAAGGCAAATTGAATATCTAAAAATAGAATCTTAGAAGAAAAGCAATAGAAAGATTTCTATCAAAACCAATAAATACAATATGGCGCAGGATATCAAATTTTATTTGTGCGGAAACAAAGTCAATGTTGTCAATAATAAAAAAATGGATGAATTAAATACGCTCAGAAGAAATGTTAAACTGGGAAAGAATAAGAGCTGATATCCACTGTCAAAGGAACAAACGATTAGCTATTAAGAGCATAATTCTACGGCCAAAACCACCCATGGGAATTGGGAAAAAGTAATATGTTTGAAATCTAGATATTCTATGTAGGATAGCCAAGTGTCAGGGTCTCATCGTAATAATTCGAAAATGAAAATAATCAATTAGTCGACGTCCTAGTACGAGCAGATGACAATATAAAGCTTAGAGATTGTGGAATATGTGGTTAGCGAATGTAGCAAATATTGGAGATGAGTTCAGATATTAAATATGATATTACTTTTAGGCTACTCCTGAAAAACTGTTCAGAAATACCGTTTTCCACCATAACTCCACGGCTTTTATCCGATGCTTTTCAAATATTTCTTGTAAATTACATATGACACAAAAGTTGTCTTGTGTGAATGCTTGGTTTAGATTATTTCAGTTAAGTGGACAAAATCTGCGATAAATTAGATCCAAAATCGGCTTTTGCCATTTAGCCAATAGTTTCTTCATATGATTCCATCCTAATTCGGCATTCAAACAGCGTTAAATGCAAAAATTGTTTGAGAAAGATTACTGAAGCATTAAAAGGAAAAATAAATTCGGGAAGAAACTTTTATTCACGCCAACTTTAAAGTAAACGTGTGAAGAAAGTGCCGTTTGCACGTGCAGCTGAATCAAGCACTGACGCTTCATTCCTGTTTTTGTTGGATTTTTAGATTTGTGAACAATGTCATACTATTTGAAAGTTATTACGGGCATAGGAGATTTACTGAATATCTAAAATATTGAAACAATTAAACTCCTAGCAACACTCAACAAGGTTTTATCGATGGAATTTCTTTATTAAGAAGTATCAAACACTTGCGAAAGACATACCGTCAAAAAAAAAAATGAGATAGGGGAGTAGCTTAGTATACTAACGCATAGACTAGACTCAGTGTGCGGGTATACAGGGAGGGTGTGGTTATACAATTGCACTCTTGTAACTCCGGCTGGGTACCATGGCTAGTATATATATATATATATATATATATATATATATATATATATATATTCGTTTTGGGAAAAAGTACTATGGACAGATGAAACTAAAATAGTGTTGTTTGGTCATAATTATCGAAATCATGTGTGAAGGAAGGATGGTGAAGCCTACTTACCAAAGAACACGTTGCCAACTGTAAAGTTTGGTGGTGAGAGTATCATGATCTGGGGCTGTTTTTCTGCAAAAGGTTTTGGCAGAATATCAATAATAGATGGCAAGATGAATGCCGAAAGATACCAGAAAATCCTGCAAGACAATTTAATGCGTTTTGTTGAGAGACTTCGGCTACCTCCTGATTGGGTTTTCCAACTGGATAATGATCCTAAGCATACCGCTAGATCTACAAGGAAATGGTTAGCCGAAAATAACGTTGATATCATGCCATGGCCAAGTGCGTCCCCAGACTTGAGAAGTTATGGCGATATTTGAAAATTCAAATTGGGAAAAGAGCACCAACAAATACCGAGAATTTGACGACAATATGCCAAGTAGAATGGGACAAAATACCACTCAATGTGTGCAAATCATTAGTGAAGACGTAGAGGAATAGACTGGTAGCTGTTGAACTCAATAAAGGATATTCTACAAAGTATTAAATAAAGTTAATATACTTTTTTGTTTTGTACGAATACTTTTTTCATCAGTTAAAATGAAAGAAAATGCATTAATTTCTGTTAGAATAAGAATTAATTAAGGTCATTACTATTTTTAAGTATCTTTACACATAAAATGTATCAAATTTTGTTTTCGTTAAGGCTTTTACATTTGTAAAAATAAACTTTTTTCTTGTGTACGAATATTTATTCCCCCCCCACTATATATATATATATATATATATATATATATATATATATATATATATATATATGTGGGGTGGGTGGGTGTGTTTGTTTGGGTCTCTGTATGTATATATGTGATGTATGTGCATGAGTAATATGCGTGTATAGTATATGATGATATATTCATTTTCCTGTATCTATATTTCTATATATATGTACAATATTTTTATATGTAAAACTGTTGTAATTCTGTTACCCTGTCCATTCAAGATGTAGGCAGTCATGACTCTCCACATATTCTTTTCCTTTTAGCGTTTTGAAATTGCTCTTAAATCGTAAATCATAATCGCCTTCCTACCGACAATTTACGCGAGCTCGTTTGGTAGTTTATTTGCTGCGCTTCTATGGCTCCATTGCCTTCAATATATCCTGTGATTGTTAAATATTTCAAGTCCACTTTCCTCATTATGTGCCCTAAGAATTTCAACTGTCTTTCTGATTGTCCGTCCTGTTACCAACTTCCTTCAAAAGTCACATTTTCAGTTTATGAGGTTCTATGCATTCCTCTTGATAGCCGCAATTCTGTTCTTTTAAGTTCCTTCTTCATCTGTCCAGCTTCCACTGCTCGAGAGGACTGATTTTAATATGCCTGTTGTCTGTTCTTTCTAACAGAAATTTCCTGTTTCGTATTAATTTCATTGGCTTTCGAAAGGCATCATTTAGCGTTTCAATATGCCTTCGAATTTAGCCGGCTCATTATTCGTTCTCTGTTAGAACAATTAATAGATAT